ATTCCCTGGATTCATGAAGAGTTGCAATTCAGAAACTTACTTAGTATGGAAAGCTTTTGAGTTTGTTGAGTATTGATTTTTTCTTTTTTTTTTTTTAAATTGATTCTCTCATCAAAGTCAGTGATAGTTTTTATCAAAGTTTAGAAAACCCAATTCATATACTAACTTCCCAAATTGACAGCATAATTTTTTAATTAAATTTGAATGCATCTTTTACAATGATACAAAATCAAGATTCCTCCAAGAATTGGTGATGACCACAGAACGTAACAGAATAGAAGCTGATTTTCGGTTCACAGAATCACAGAATATGCTGAGTTAGAAGGGACCCACAAGGATCATGGAGTCCAGCCCTTAGCCCTGCACAGGACCATCCCCAAGAATCACACCATGTACCTGAGAGTATCATCCAAACGCTTCCTGAGCTCTGTCAGGCTTGCTGCTCTGACCACTTCCCTGGGGAGCCTCTTCCAGGCCAACTACCCTCTGCATTCAGAGATTGCAGTAAGTGGTGGAAAGTGAATGTCATGAATGGGTTTAAATGTGAATAGTTACAAGAGAATAACATAATGTCTAAGTTATGATGTGTATATAATTTTATTTCTAAAATGCGAAGAGATTTCCTACAGTAGGGATAATGGAATGTAGCCAGAGAGTATTCCAGTGGGAGATGAAATCTATGTAGTTGCTAAAGAAGCCATGGAAGAGGCATAAAATAGCTATTGCCTTATTTTAATTTTTGGATTTGGGTTTTGTTGGATTAAGGGGGTTTTTTTGTTTGTTTCTTTTTAATTTGATACAGACTTGTGGTTTGATTTTATTGTGGGGTTTGGGTTGGATTTTTTTTTTTATTTAGTTTGGGGTTGTTTTGTGTGGAGTCATTTTTTCCTTAGGCTTTTGGGGGATTTTTGCTTTGTTTGGGGCTTTTGGGTTTTGGGGTATTTTTAATATACATGTCTGGGTGGGTTTGGGTTTAGTTTTTTTGTTTCATTTTGTTTTGTTTTACCTATTTTAATGAATGTCTTTTGTCTCCTGGCAGTGGAATAGATTTTGTGAGTCATGCAAGTCACTGAATACCCATGTGATTGATAAGAGTGGGAGGATTTGCTTGTTCACTTCCTGAAAATAAATTTAAAAAAATTTTTAAAAGTCCAAGTATCAAACAAGAGAGGAGTCCTGTAGCTATAGCTACTATTCATGATGAAAAGACTACCTGCTATATTGCTGCTAAAAGTGTTGTGATGTTAGTACAGAAGTAGAGTTGTGTCCCTTAAAGCTATGAGAAAGGAAATCTGGCTTCTCCGTCTGAGATTGTGACATAGGAGTTGTCAGTATTCTGTATATTATGAGGGCTTTCTTTTTTTAATGAGAAATATTTAGCTTTTCAGAGCTATGGCAAGTCATTTCAGCTGTGTGTAACTATATCAGTTTTATGTCTTGAGGACCTGCTGTTTTGGTGGCCTGTGATATCAGTCTTGGGACAGCAGTG